TGTTTATTTTTCTTTTATCAACAGTTCAGCATGCTGTCTACATACCAGACTTAGCCTACAAAGAGAAGGCACCAAAAAAGTCACAAAACACTCAGGTTCAAGATATTTTAAAACTATTTTGTCCAATTAACCCTTAGAACGTATTTTATTTCTACTCTCTACCAATAACGAGTTATTCTTGTGTCCACCGTGGTTCTTTTTTTGTCTGCCATGTTTTATTGTCTTTGATTTTGTTGATGCCATGTCAAAATGTCCTTCCTTTAATGTTTTTCTTCTAATCTCTGCCCAGTTGGTAGAATTTGCTATGTCTCTTGATGGATCTTTTGTATTATTATTTGAAATGGCTTCTGGAATCTAAGGAAATGGGACAAAATCTGTTTGTATTTTGCGCGTTTGTGTCCTGCAAAGATGTTCTTTCTTTAAGTTTCAAGGCTGTATTCACTCCTTCCCCTTGTGAAAAACATGTTCACTCTCCTGTGAAAATTTAAAAGGTTAATTAAAGGGCAATAAGAGACAAGGACCATAGAGCAAAGGTTATTATGGCTGGGGGCATTTAGAAATAAAAACCATATATTTATGACAAAGTTACTTTAACATCACACATAAAAAATCAATTTTCATATTTGTGAAAAGCCAATATTATAATATGTATTATAACACATACTTATATGTGTTATAGTATATAGAGCATAGTATAATAGTAATAGTATATATTATTTATATTATATTATATTATATTATATTATATTATATTATATTATATTATATTATATTATATTATATTATATTATGTTATGTTATGTTATATTATTTTTTATTATGTTATACTATATTATATTATGTTATGTTATGTTATATTATTTTTTATTATGTTATACTATATTATACTATATTATATTAATAGTATATATTTTTATATATTATTATAGGTATATTATATATTACATATAATATATATTATATTATCGTATATATTACATAGTATATATTATATATACTATTTCAATGCTATGTCTAAGCTAAATTAACAGTAGAAATGGAAGCTATATCTTCATAACAAAGTGATTTTAACATGACACATATAAGATCCATTTTAATATTTGCGAAAAGCCACTATTATAATGTGTATCCATAACACCCCTCTGTATGAGGAATTGCTGGTTGCATTTATTGCTGTGTATTAGAATTGGAGGGTGCAATAATTGATTTGGCCACAGGTGGCGCTGCAGCAGGAGGTTTAATGTCTTGTTGTCGTCACAAAATGACGTCAGCGGAAGTACTTAGCATAAATTACGGAAGTGCAGGGCGCCGCCATTTTGCGTACGGAATAGGTGTGCAGGGCGCCGCCATTATGTGGGCAGGGCATAATGAGTGTCTGGGGAACGCCCGCGGAACGGCCATGGTGAGTGATTGACAGGCCGGGAGGCGGGGCCTCGGGCGGGGCCGGAATGGCTGCAGGGAGCTGCGGGCTGGGGAGCGTTGGCTCCGAGCTTGGGTGTGTGAGAGAGCGGGCGGGGAATGGACACTCCGCGCCGCAGCTATGGGCAGTAAAGAAGCGCTGTTTGCGATCTCTGGGTCTGTGGGCATTAAAGAAGCCCTGTTAGTGATCTCTGGTCCGAGATTCCGTCCGCCCGTCCCGAGGGAGCCCTGTCCTCCCGCAACCTCCGTCTGCCCCGCCAAAGCCACGTTTGTGACTTAAAAACCGCCGCGGGTCGCGCTCCGCTCCCCCGGGCAGAAGGGAACGGCCTTTTGCGCTGTTTGCGGTGGTTTTGCGTACCCGGGGCGGTCCGTGCGGTCCCTGGCTGCGCAGGTTGCGTATCCTGCGCCCTTTGCGTACCCGGGGCGGTCCGTGCGGTCCCTGGCTGCGCAGGTTGCGGACCCTGCGCGCTTTCCGCGATCGCAGGTGGCCGTGCTCCAGGGATGGGCCCGCCCGCTCCAGGGCTGCTCCTCGGCAATTCGGGGCGTCCCCCGGCTGTGGGGAGCGCCTCGCAGGGCTGGCATGTCCCCTGTCCCTGGGGGAGCCGGGGGAAGCGATCTGCCAGGCTGTGCCGACCTGCTGGAGCGGGGGCAGGGGCCTGCCCGACCCGCCGCTCATGGCCGCACGGGCTGAGGGGCCGCACATGGCCCAGGCCGGGCGCTCTTTGGGGCCCTGATTATCTCCTTAGCCTCTTGTGCCGCTTCGGTGCATGGCTTCTGCTGGCTAGAACCTCACACACCACCCTACATGCTGGAAGAAGTTTTGCTGCTGCTGTGTTCTTTAGTGTAGCAGCATTGTATGGTCTGAGATTCACAGAGTCCCCGAGAAAGGGATTTAAAAGAGCCCCTGGGTCTGCGTTTGGAAACTGTTCCTGCACCCAGTGTAAAAGATCATTTAGTTGGGACAGCCCTGGGATGATGTTCCCTGCCCAGTGAATCTAGGAGATCTAAGGCGTCTTTTTTTGATCTAGATATTACGTTTCCCATTGTGTGTGATTAACCTGCTGAACATAAATCCTACCTGACTTTTCGCTGTCCGTTTCTCCTGGCTTTGTGTCTGCTCTGCCAAGGCCAGGGTTGAGGCGCCCCAGACGGTGTTCTGTGTTCAGACTCAGATGTTTATTGTTTCTTATCTACATTACAAGTCCTGACTTCTACAGCATTCTAGTAACAAGCTACAGAACGGCCAACTGTCTTTCTCTACAAGGTCTTTTAAGGCTAAACTATCCAATTAAGAAATGACACCTAAATTGTTTTCACTTTTAACCCAATAACTAATCCCTTGTGTCCCGCACTGCGGACTTTTCTGTCCAATTACACACCACCACCCAAACCCATGGAGAAGAATGGAGAAGAAGGTGAAGAAGAAGGACCAGCCTCCGCCCTAAAACCTCCATCTTGCTCTACATATATTGTTATATTCTAAACCCTTAAACTCTTAAGTTTTCCACCCTGTGATGTTACACACTTCTAATCAAACTCCACACCCACAATCCCAGTTGTGTCATTCCATTTTGGAAGCCTTCTCCACGGCCTCGGGTCAAATGCAGTGTTCTCTTGTGGGTCTGTGCCTTTCAGCACAGAAAGTTTGAAATACTCAACATCCAGCATTCCTAGACTGATATTTTTATAGCTACAATTAATGTCCATTTTCAGTTCCCTAATTTAGCACCTTTCTTGTCTGCTGACAAGAACATTTGATGCAGCAAGAAGAGAATCTGAAAAATTAGCTGCTGTCTTGTCAGATATTAGTTATTCCCCTGATCCGGCCTTGATGTTTATCCCTCCCTCTTTGAGTTTTCTTAATTATTTCTGTCTTGTACTAATTTTCACATAACTCCCTCGATGTAAGCTTTATGGTTTAGAATCTCAACTGCTCATTCAATTAATGGGCTTGCTTAATGTGCTTAAACTTTCCAGAGACGCTCGTGACACATTATGAGGGAGGGAAAAAAAGATTCCAAGTCTGCTCCATCTCATTTGTGGTACTCCTGAGCCTGAAGTCCATTTTAAGCTCTTTATCAGATTATCTAGATTTATTATTTTATATTCTTGTGTTCATTAAGCATTTATGTGGAGGAGTGTTCTCTCCAGAAGAGGGACTGTGTTTCCTTTGCCCCATCCCTCATCACCTGGCTCAGCCCCTCTGTAAATGAGCAGTTGTAGTTTCAGTACATTGAAAAGGATCTGAGAGGCTGACTTGAATATGGCAAATGTGGAAGGACAGATCTTTTACTTCATATCTGAAAATTGTGTATTTTTTTGAGCAAAATAAGCATCTGCCAGAGGTTTTCTCTATTTTTTCTTGGCTCAGTGACCCCTAATCCCCTGTTAATATCTGAAAAGATTTGAGGTTGGTTTGCAGAGGGAACCCAGCCTGTGTCTCAGCCTATTCCCCCCTGAAGCCTACATGAGTTATCTCAGTAATTCCAGGAAAGCAGAATTTAACCACGGGCTCAGCCAGGCTCCCTCTGTGCCAGAGCCTTGGGCAGGTGACAAGAGCAGCCCTGACAGGAGAACAAAGTGCATTCCAGGGACACAGCCACATCTCATCAGCTGTGGGCTCCAAAGATTAAAACCACTCTGAAACCATGGGCTCTGTGCGAAATGAGCTCCTCTCTCTCTTCAAGGCAGAATGCAAACCAGATAAAGATAAAATACCTGTACACATGCAGGTATATAACTCATATTATACATGTAAATAAACATGAATATTGTACATTAATGTTATACATGGCTGGGTGTTTGTGTATCTAAAACTACACTGTTTGTATAGCTAAAATCACACACACATATTTATAAATATATTAGAAACCCCTCCCTGACAAAGGAGTCCTGTCTTCCAGGATGCAGATTGAATTAGTTGCTACATCATGGTTTTATATAAATGAGATCTGTGCTCAGGACCTTGATTTTGTGCCAGAAGATCCCTGGAGCCAAGAGGGCAGATGAGTTGTAGAACACAGCCCACACGCTGCTTTTAGCAGAGATTTCATGGAATGCCACGGAGCAGCTATGAATACATTTTGTTAAAACAATTACTGAGAAGTCCTAAAAAATAATGCTTCTGCTGCACTTCTGCTCATGAGCCATAAGGGGATCTTTGTCTTTCAGCATTACAGTGCTCAAGGAAAAGGGAAAAGATTCTGGTTTATGGTTCTGAGTCAGTCTTTTTCTTACTAACATATGGCCCCATTTTTCCTGGTTCTTTAAGCAAGTTGTAAACATAAACGTTGATGCACATGGAGTTTGATTCATGAAGGGTTTAATTTGCCTAATATAAAAGATTCACACAGGTTATATAACATCATTAAATTATTTTTGTAGTTTGAGTAGTATCCTTTGAGGAAAGCACAACTCTTTCCCTGGGGTCCATTTATCACTGTTTGCTTCTAATTAGAGAACTGGAAATGCAATATGCATGACTTAGATTTGCAGTGTTGTCTTAGCCCTCATGTATCATCCTCGTTCTTCCTCAGGAACTTTTATTCATTTCCTCATTTTTTATACGTATTTTTTTTAAGGTTTCTGAGAGCTGTGACTCCATCTTTGTTAATGGCAAGGAGATGAAGAGCAAAGTGGACACCATAGTGAATTTCACGTACCAGCATTTCACCACGCAGCTGGAGGTGACGGTCTGGGTGCCGCGGCTGCCGCTGCAGATCGAGATCTCCGACACCGAGCTCAGCCAGATCAAGGGCTGGAGGATCCCTGTCACCTCCAACAAAAGGTGGGTATGTCCCCAGCATGGCCATCTCCTCACTCTTGCCTGGGGGGCTGCTTTTACAGCACAGCCATTTGAGAATGAGCATTTAAAAATTGCAGTCAGCTTTGCAGTCTGCCTCAGCCCTCATTCAGACACTGGACAGTTTAAAAGGCAGAGCTTTGCCTGGAGCATTAATCAATCCCACACAATCTCAGGACATTGGATCACACATTCCTGAGGAGAAGGATCCGGACATCTCCTGTAGGTGTCACACAGCCCTGTGTGTGTATGTGTGAGACATTCAGCACTGCCAGACCTCAGTTCTGTCTGCTGGGACAAATAACAGGGCCAAGGAAGGGTTCAGGTGTCACTGCCTTGGACCAGGTGACCCAGGTCTCTTCCAACCCACACCCTCTGTGATTCCATGGCTTTGGGTGGTTGTTTGGTCTGTGCAGACCTGGCTGCTGCACTGCTTAGCAGCTCTGAATGAAGTAAGAAACAATTCCTACTGAAGACCATGTTCCACCAGGAAGAAGTGGACAGGGAAAAAGTAGAGCAGAGACAGTGGGGCTTCTGAGCTCTGATCCCATCATTCCCTACTGGAAATGCCCATTCTGTAATAACCATCATTTGCAAGATAGAACTTCCTGTGTTGGTAGATTTCAGGTGAAATTGAAAAATATTAGTGGGGAAAAGGCGTGACACCAGGTCAGATTTATCACCCATGGCAGCAGCAAGAGCAGTGCTGAACACTGTGGCAGCTCCAGCTAAAGCTCTCCAGTGCCCAGGAGAACATCTCAGCTGCTGAGGAGCCTGGAGAGCCCAGACAGCAGTGCAGAACTACCCAACACTTCATAAAGGCACAAAACTAGGAGCTGCACACAACTTGCAGGGTGGTCAGATCACGAGCTCCAGAGAAGGGCAGTGACTGACCTCTTGATTATGTGGGCATTTTTCTGGCTATGGCAGAGGAGGTGATGAGAATCTGGCACAAGAGAAGTTGCAGTGTTTGCTTCAGCGACAAAGGCAGGAAGAGCTGTGCTGGGTGAGGAATGAGTGGATTTAAGCTGACTGCTTAAATCTTCACTGAACTCCCTCTCCTGCCTGTGCTGTCCCAGCCCTGAGGCACAGCTCCTGCTGAAAGCAGTGGGATTTTGCTGAGCACACAGCTGCAGGATTAGGCCGGTGTTTATTGCAGGAGCAGACATTCAGCCCTGCTTAGCAGTCGTGGGCATTCTCAAGTTAAACCCATTACAGGCAGCGCTGGAAATTTCCCCCCTGGTGTCTCCTCCTGATTTATTTGGCCAGCTGAAATAAAGAGAATGGTCTGAGAGTCTGCTCTGCTTGCAAGCTGGCAGGCTTTGCAGAGTTTTGGTGCAAAGCATTTGCTGCTGCTTGGATTGCTCTGGAGCTGCTGGCCCACGTCCTGCAGGCATTTTCCAAAGTGTGGACACTGTGCCATCCCCCTGGAAGGTCCATGGCCACGTGAGCAGCAAAGGTTTCAACAGGAAACAAATGATCTCTCCTTTTATTGACCATTCATGGGGATTTTTAACTTTGCAGGGCAATTCTGAATCAATAGTTCAGAGCCAGCATTAGTTGTGCTCATGCTGACATTTACTTTGCACATAAGGTTTTTACATTTCCTTTATTTTTAGATTTGGATGGTTTTTACCTGAGATTTAGTGGCTTTTCATTTTGGCACTTTTTTATTATTATGACTTTTCTCTTTACTTTTTAATCTGCTTATACCTCCACCTCCTATGTGTTTCCCCAAATCCTAAACATGGGGGAGTTTTATGAGTTTTTTGGTGATAAGCTGAAGCACTCAAGACATTTGGACTGCAGTCAGGAGCTGTGGGTTTGAGAGTAAGCAGAGTGCTTTTATCTTTGCAAAAACCCCAAATCCAAGCATTTCCCAGCAGGTGAAGCCATAGCATTGTGTTGTTTCAAGTTTGCCTTCATGTGAGAGCCAATATTGGCAATTTGCACTAGGTTTTTGATATCTGTTCTTGAAGGAAACTCAAGGATTCTTTCCAAAGTCCCTGACAACAGGCTTTGGCAGCCTTGGAGCTTAGCCCAAAAATCCACTGAAACTGTGTCACTGTTCTGGTCATGGCAGGATTGCAGTGTGGCTCCTTGTAGCTCACCTCAAACCACAAACAAAACAATTTCCCACTTTGCTCCTGTCCTGCAGGGCTGGTGTCCTCACACCACTGCTTGTGCTCTCAGCAGGAACTGCACATTGCTTTAAAGTCATTCATCAACATACAGCAGGCAAAATGATGGAATGTTTTACAGGGATTGTGCAGAGACACTTCAGCAACCTCCAGAGGTTCTTCCATCTCCTCTGGCTGCCCCAGGGCCTCGTTCCCACCCCACAGCGTGGCTGCCTGGGCCAGATGGCAAAATAGAGCTGGGTTTACAATAATCTTAAACGCGTTTATTGGTGCTGTTAGCAAAAGAAACGTTTGTGCATCAGCATAGCTGTTCTTCTGATACAGCTGCTCTCCTTCAGACCTCAGAGAGTTTATGTGCCCCAGATCACATCTGCTCTTCCCAGGGATGGCTCTCCAGCCAGTAAAATGTCTTGCTGCTCCCCGTAAACCCTGCCATGTTTGTAATTGTAAAACACATGTGATTACAGACATGTTTGCCTCCCTGACTTCTTGAATCATTTCCACAAAGCCATGAAGAAAGCAGGGTCTTTAAAAACTTTTACAAATGTCCCCTGCACATTGAACTGTGTTGGTTTGAACAACTGCAGGAGCAGGAACTTGTCAGCAGAAAGGAAAAGAGAGGCTGCTTTTATACCAAAAACTGGAAAAAACCCCAATTCCTCTGCCCTGTGTAAGAGCAGCAATACAATTTACCAGATCTCCTGCAAATATATGGCAAATCTTTAATATTTTCAGAGGAGAACTTGATCTCTGGTGAGTGCTGCTGCAGACAGGAGGAGCCTCCCTGGGCAGGTGAAATTCAGCTCCACCATCAGCTCCTGGGTTGAGCCTGAGCCAGCACAGGCTGCACAGACCCCCAGCCTCAGCAAACAGCAGGTCTATATTTAAATTAAAGTCAAATATTAGAGTGTAGAAGAGGTCCAGGCAGACTCTGCTAGTCTAACAAGAACATTTATTTCTATTCCTCCTGCATCTGCAAAATAATTACCTTGTTCTTGAGGTTCCTGCACCAGCTCTGTGCACACATATTTACATGGCATGAGTGGCTTCAGCTTGCATTAATAGGAGTTGCATGGCTAAAGTCTCCCAGAACAAGCTGGAATTTAATTTCAGTAAATATTTGCAGCTGGGATAGGGCGTTGTTTTCAGGAGGCTCCCAACACCACCAGCACAGGCTTCACTTCAGGCAGGGCTTATTGAGCTCTGCTTTGGTCCTGTCCAGTTCTGGAGACAAAAGCAGGAAAGCTGGCCTGGGTTAAATGCAGGATAGGAGAAACTGCTTGAGTTAAACCCTCAGGGAGTGCTGCCTCTCAGAAGTAAAGCTGTGAAATTAAGAGACACTGGATTCAAACCATTCCACTGGTGGGTAACAGCGTCTGCACAAAGCTGGAACACGCTGTAAATTTGCTCCTTTGGTTAATTGACTTTAATGTCCTTTGGAGATAAGGCCTTGGAGATTTTTGTTAATAGGTAGGCTATATTTTCAAGATCTGTGAAAGTACCAAATTACATTTCTTCTTGAACTGTGAGTGGAGTTATGTGCAGCTTTATTTCTGTGGCTTCCACTAAATCAGTTTCTAGTGGTTTGTAATTTGTATCTGAGAGAGATTTCTTTTTCAATTAGGGATGTTGGAAATGTTTTTTAAATATACCACTGTTTGTAATGGGTATTTCAAATCCAAACCCAGCAAAACTGATTTCTTTAGGGTTGGTTTTTTTTTTTTTTAAACAGAAAATTAGCATCTGGCCCAAGAATGTGATGCCTGGTTGGAGAGGGGTGCAGATTAAAAGAGACACACTTCAACTGCTCAGAGACAAGGTCTGTAATGTGGAGCTGACAGATCACTGATTAGATCAGTGCTTGCAGGCACCCTTGGAACAGGCTGCTGCTTCAGCTCAGCTCCCTGGCAGAGCCTTTCCTCTGTGAAATGTAAATTAAATGTAATTCTGGCAACCTTGGCTCGCTCCAGAAAAGCACAAAACCTTCCAAGCAAGTTTGCCAAGCAGCAAGAAATAGGCTAAGGAGGACTCTGAGAGATTTTCAGAGATGACCAAGGGAAAAAAGCACAATATGGAGCAATAGCTTATATTCACCAGGACTTGTCTTGAGCAGAAAATGAGCTTCCTGCTTAATGAAGGATTTTAAGCTTACTGAAAACACTTTAATGAGGAGTTTAAAGGGAACTGTGCAATTCACTGGATCTCAAACACTGACTTACTGCCTAAATCTTGATTTTGTGGTTTTAAAGTGGAAAAATTATATCCTTTGTTAAAAAATAAAACAAAACCAGAAAGATCTTGAGTTGAGACCTGGCAAAGCAGACTTGCAGAGCTTGTACAGAGAATTCAGACGCCTCCCTCTCTGCACTGAAAGAACATGCCTTGCTCATCCCAGGCTTTGGAGAGGCTTTTCTGGTGCTCCACATTTGTCTGCCACAGAAAACCTGTTTCTGAGCAGAAGTACATCAACATCTCTGAATGTTTTTGTGCTGAAATGGAGCTTTTGCATTTAAGATGTCCCAAGGAATGGGCTGGACTTGAATAATCGTTTTGTTGTGGTAAATCCTGGCTGCCCACACGGCCCCAGTGCTGGAAATAAGGACAGGAGTGCTCCCTCTGTGCCCCTGACAGCAGTCCTCCCCTCTGGCCATTCCACAGCTCATATTTATCAGCTGGGGCTGGAAGAGAATTCCCTCCAGTTGTTTGGAATAGATTTCCTCTTGGACAACCCAGCAGTGCAAAGTTTTAAACAGTGAAAGTAGAAATAAACAAGCACATAAATAAAGATAACAGCAACCCATTGGATCTGAATAAAACATCGACTCCCTGAATTGTTTGGGTTGAAGGAAACCTTACAGATTATCTTGTTCCAGGCCCTGCCCTGGGCAGGACAAACAGGAGCAGAAGGGAGTGTTGTACATGATGCTGTGAATATGAGAACATCTCCTGCCAACCCCACCACGCTGCCTCTGGGTCTCCTTTCCCATAACAGGGCTGGTTCCCATCAGTTCTGTGCCCTTTTGCCCCACATCCCACAAATGCTCCTCACCTGAACAGCTTTTGCACATTTTTCTGCAGTTCTGCACAGGCACTAATGGTACTGCCTGCATTATTCAGAGAGGGTCAGATCCCCAAATCCCAGAGCTGAGCTTGGTCCTGCCAAAGTCTGAGATTGTTCAGAGCTGGGTTATGGCCTGGCTGAGCTGGAGAGGGTCAGAACACAGGAATAAATTGAAAGTGGGAACATTAAGGAGTTCATGGATTCGTTTACAGCATGGATGGATGTGGACCACAGAAGCCCAATGAACATTCCCCTTCCAGAACTTTCTGTGTGGCTGTTCTGCCAGCTGTGAGCTGACTCCAGACTGACACCAGTGCTGGCAAGGAGAGAACAACTGAAAGTTTCCCTGAAATACCCAGCTAGTCAAAGTCTCTAAGACTAATTTCTTTGGGAAATAGAAATCCTGTTTTGTAGCCTTCCCCCTAACAATTCCACTGTTATTCAATGATGTTTCACTCAGCAGGTAATGATGGACACTTGTTTTATACACACAAAACCAAAAGGCACCACAGACCATTTACTTGAGGCTGAATATAAATATTCAGCTAACAAGTGATGCATTGAAAATGTATTTCCAGTGGATTAGGTTCTGTAACACTGGGACTTTCAGTCATTTTGAAGAGCACAAGGGTTTTTCTTAGATATGTTTTCAGCTTACTGGCTGCCAGCTTTGTCATAAAACAATTTATAACAAAAGCAATTCTGTTTTATAATAGTTTTTCATAGCTGCTATTTCAAAGGAGGAGATAAAGGGACACAGTAACCACAAAACTACCTCCTGCAATACTTTGAAAAATGAGAGACTTATCCTGTATTTCCCACCCTTGATATAGAGGTGGCTTCAGGCTCAATAAATACAGGAGGGAGGGAAATTATTTCTGAGCAATGAATCCACAGCATGGGGGCATAATGAGTAAAAGTGTGACCACCCACTGCTTAATACCTGACTTGGAAGAGATAAGAGGATCCATGTGTTTGTGCCAGGCAATGAACAAGAGAAAGAAAATGTAAAATATTAAATATTGGTGGTAAACTGGGTCTTCAAGCAGACAAAAAACTCTCTGAGGTGTGACAGCAGTGCTATCATGTACAAATCACTGTGATGCCTTCTCTGAGCTCCAGGGAAAGCAGTTTTATTTCACAGGTTCTACTTTGAAAGGGGGACAGATAGAAAGTGTGGAAGTGTGTCCAATGCTGCAGGTGTCCTGCACGGTGTAATCTGAGTCACCCTGCCTTGAGGGGGAGCCCAAATGTTCTGTTAACAGCAGCTAAAGATTTTTTATGTGACAGAGCATTTTGAAAACTTCTTAGCTGATAGCACATTGCTAAAGTTACAGCTGTTCTAGCCAGTCACTGAAAGCACACCTACACCTGCTGCACACAATGCTGCCTTGTCTGCTTTCTGGTAACAGTACACGATACTTCATCATTGAGCTTAAAACCTTCTACTATCTTGTAAAGAAGTCTTAAAGTCTATCTTAAGCAGTCTTAAAGTCTGTCTATTTTTCTGCAGTCTTGAAGTCTATCTTAGCCTAAAACTCAAGCTATTGTTTTATGTCCTTGCTTGTTATCCCACTGTAACTTGTTCTGCCTTCAGCCCTTGCAGCTGCAGCTAGCTCTGAGTTCCTCTGCTCTGCCTGGCTCTAAGCTTTTCCAGCTTTGTGGGAATCACTTCCCTTTGCCACGTCCCCAGAGCAGGTGCAGCTGGAGCTCTGCAGGGCGGGCGGGTCTGACCAAGCTGGCTGTGTTCACAGGCCCACGCGGGACAGCGAGGATGAGGAGGATGACGAGAAGAAGGGCAAAGGCTGCACCCTGCAGTACCAGCACGCCCTGGTGAGGGTCCTGACGCAGTTTGTGGCCGAGTCCTCGGAGCTGGGGGGCCACCTGACCTACCTGCTGGGCTCGGAGTGGCAGTTCGACATCACGGACCTGGTGGCCGATTTCATGAAGGTGGAGGAGCCCAAGGTGGCCAAGCTGCAGGAGGGCCGGGTGCTGGCTGGGCGAGAGCAAGGCATCACCACGGTGCAGGTACAGCCCCTGCAGCCCACAGGGGCTCAGCCTCACACACACCTGGGCTGCCAGGGCTCGGGGCTGGGCTGGCAAAGTCACTGATCGCAGGGGAAAAATAATAATAAAAAAAGAAGCTGGAAAAATGGGTGTGCTAAACGGAAAAGGAAGTTTGAGCAGGTTTTCATTGTGGCTGTATGTTACTTCCATAAAATGCCCTTAGGTGAAGCTTTTGTATGGATTTGTCCATCTTAGTGTGACTGGAACACAGGGGGATTTCTCTGGCTGGTGAAAGAGGGGACATGAGGCACACAGCCAGCTCCTTCTCACTTCACTGGGACCATATGAGCACAACTGTGGGGAAATTGTACCAAATATCTACGTGCACCTTTACATCCTTGAACATATCTGAAAAATTAGTTCTTTTATGTTCACAAAACCAGTCACAAACCATGGACACAAAAATAATCTTCAGATGCCTTTTGGGGTGTTCATGTTCCCCACCTAACCTCTGTCCAAATTCATGCAGCTTCCTTAATCAAAATAAATGAATGGAAGCCCTGGGGCTCTTCTCAGGGGCTGCAAACACCTGCAATGTTCTGGTCACACTCTGGAGTCAACACAGGGATTTTAGGGCTCAGCTCCCTTCAATCTGAGATAAATGGGATAGAGAGGTCAAGGGATTTCTGCCCTTAAAATGTCTCTTCCTCTCCAGTGACCCTAAAAGAGCAGGGAGCTCCAGAGCTGGGAACTGTGCTGCAGATTTCTCGTGTTGGATTAGACAAATCACACCTCAACTATTCTGGGCTCAAAGCAGCTGTTTCTGTCACCAGGATAAAGATGAGTCTCTTTCTGAGCATGCTGGAAACAAGGTCTTAGAGCAACTGGCAGGAGTGTTTTGGCATTGAAAAATGCAGGCAGGCACCCAGTGGGATTTCCAAAGTTCTTTTGCAAGTCTCACTTTCATTTCATTCAGGTCGTGTGCCCCTGGAAAGGCAACAGGCCAAGTTCCCATCAGCCAGGCTTTGAGCACTTATTTATCCCCTCACTGAGTTTCAGTGTTAATCAGTGTCTTACACTCTGTCCTGGCCTGCACTGCATTAACAGGGAGTTTTATAGACCCCACAAAAATGACTTTCAAAAAACCCCAAAGATCCATTTAATTAATTTTATATCATATATATTTTGTCGAGATCAAGCTGCAATTTTGAAGTGATTTGTTGTTTTATTAAATTATTTTTTTAGATAAAGCAATTTAACAGCAAATGAGTGTAATATCTTGGGGGAAACATCAGCTCTGGCTTAGGCATGGACATGACCAACCCAGGATTAATGTGGTGTGCTGGTCAGAGGCCAGCCTGGCTTTGAAACACTTCACTGCTGTTTCATGCAGGGCATTTCCTCTCTCCTGCCAGGTGCTGTCCCCCCTCTCGGATTCCATCCTGGCAGAGAAGACAGTGATAGTTCTGGATGACAGGGTGACCATTGCTGACCTGGGGGTGCAGCTGGTGTCAGGCCTGTCCGTGTCCTTTCAGAGCAGCAAAGGGAACAAGAGAGCCATCCTTGCCACCACCTCTGCCCACGACATCCTGCGCACTCCCAAACAGGTACGCCCCACAAAATGCATCCACTCATTTCATGCTCCTCCTGCTCTGGCAGAGGAATTTGCTGTTAATTTTAGGCAGGAAATATAATGAATATATGGTTCTGAAAAGCAGTAAAATGGCTGTTCATCTTCCTGACCCCTGCACTCTCCAGAGCTGCTCTGGGGAGCTCACAGCACAGGGAAAGGGATGCACAGTGCCAAACAAACACGGACGTGCCACAAAAATCTCCTTTTCTGTGGGGAAATGCAGCCTAGCTGTGCAAGCAGGGCTGGAATGCCAGTCCTTAATTGTCTCACAAAGTCAGCTCAGCCAAAACGACCTCTGGCTGCAGGTGCAGAAGTTTTCATGACCTGCAGTGCTGAAAACTGATGAGTTTGTGCTTACTTTGAACCATATAATCGGAGGAATTAAATAGCTTTTAATGAGACCACAGAACAAATTCTGGATGTGGTTTTTAATAGATTCCATAGAACTGAGGTTATACATCAGTGCAGAAAGTGTAACTATATTTTTTCCACTAGCAGTTCGCAGCAAGAAGACAAATTGGTTTGGTCAAACATAAAAATGGTGGTTTTTTATGAGTGTTTCTACAGTTCCCAGGAAAGACCACAATCCCTTTTGCATATTGCAAGTCCTGCATATTTGAAAGCATGACAGAAATATAAAGTACTGCACTGAGATGTGTTCTCCTCCCAGTTTGTTCCATGGGCTGGATGGGCTTGCTGGCCCGACACATTCCAGCCCTGCTCATTGCATTCCATGAGGCCCTGGAACTGCAGCATTAGAGAAATTCCCCATTATGGTCCTTTACAAACCTAATTGACCGTGATGTTGGAAATATGATTATTTTCATCATAAGGCTCTGGCATTCAAAAGAGGCTTCTCTCTTCAGACTGAGAAAAAAGAATCGTCAATTGTTTTTTTCCAGCATTTGTATTAAATTTACATGAGTGTTTCTTTGATAGTTCCTGAAGGTGAGGTAAATGCCTCAGTGGTGTAGAGAACACGAGCCTGCAAGAAAATGAGCAGCAGAGTAGACATTTCCATTTTCTTTAAAAAAACAAACCAAAAACAAACCCTGAAGTTAAACTCTGTATTCTTTTCAGACTTTAACAACAGAGTGTCTGATTTGTGCTCTCTCTCTCTCACCTGTTTTCCCCCATCCTGTCCCACCAGGAGGCTGTGGTGAGTGCTTGGGTTCTGTTCAGCGACGGGGCGGTGACGCCCTTGGACATCTACGACTCCAAGGACTTCTCCATGGCCATCACCTCCCTGGATGAGATGGTGGTGTCCTCACACCAGAGCCTGCAGTCCCTCTGGCCCGTGGTGGTGGCAGAAGGGGACGGGCAGGGGCCCCTGATCAAAATTGAGATGGTGATCAGCGAGCCCTGCCAGAAGACCAAGCGCAAGAGCGTTCTGGCCATGGGGAAAGGAAACGTCAAGGTGAAGTTTGGTCAGAAGGATTCGGACCAGAAAGGGAGCACCAACGACATCGATGATGTGGAGAAAGATTTTAAAAGCCATGCCAGCAATGCCATAGAGAAAGCTGCAGAGCAAGAGAGGACAGCACAAGACTGGTCCAAAAACCACGAGGACGTGTCCGGTCCTGAGGACAATGCAAACAAAAGCACAACTTTCATCTCTCCCATTGATCAGGAGTCCCTGGAGGATGGCCAGCTTCAAAACAACCCAACTGCCTTCACAGGTTTCCCTGCCCAGGTAGAAATACCAGGAGAAAGCAATCCCAGTGACCTCTCATTGACTTCCAGAGGATTGACAGACCTGGAGATTGGCATGTACGCTCTGCTCTGTGTTTTCTGCTTGGCAATCTTGGTGTTTCTGATTAACTGCGTGGCATTTGCGTGGAAGTACAGGCACAAAAGGTTTGCTGTGAGTGAGCAAGGCAACATCCCCCATTCCCATGACTGGGTCTGGCTTGGCAATGAGGTGGAGCTCCTGGAAAACCCAGTGGACATTTCGCTCCCATCGGAGGAGTGCACTACCATGATTGACAGAGGGATGCAGTTTGAAGAAAGCAACTTTCTCCTTAATGGGAGCTCTCAGAAGACTCTTCATAATCATATCCTCAGATCTTCTGAGTACCTTTGTGAAAAAGAAGTTAAAAGTGAACCTATAAATCCTTCTGGGCCAAAGCAGAAGCGAGTAAAGTTCACTTCATATACAACAATACTGCCAGAGGATGGAGGCCCCTACACCAACTCAATTCTATTTGACAGTGATGATAATATTAAATGGGTATGCCAAGATATGAATCTTGGTGATTCCAAGGAACTTAGGGACTATATGGAAAGACTGCAAGACAATATGTAAAACTACTTTCTTATGTTTGTAATCACCTTTATGCCTTCTGTTTATGGATGGTGGAGCAGTCAGTCCAGTCAGCAATAGGAACAAGACAGCCCAACCCTGGAGGTCCTGAGATGATAACCTGATGGCAGAGAGCAGGTCCAAGAGGCTGGCTGAGTTAATCCTGTTTCACCACAAACCAGGATGTGCCCCTAAAGCAGCTCCCTGTAGGTGTTGGAGGTGTCACACACGATGGCTGTTGCTGTGTACTGCCTGGTTCTAGCAAAACGCTGATCCACCTGCGCTCAGACTCAGAGGAGACTCCATTTGTTGGTCATCTCTCATGAGAAATGGTCAATCAGAAAAGAAAGGGATGTTTGTTTGCATTGATTTTTTCTAGTCGTCGTCCTTTGTAAAGCACAGTGGACATTTCTTGCTCACAGCCTGAGAGGAGGCTCACGGAAAAAGGGATTGGAATGAATCTCATTTTATTGCCTATGTGCAATGCAGCCAAGTAGTCTTATTATTTTTTACAGATATAAAAAACCCCATGTGGTTAATTTCTTCTTATATTGTTTGTGAATTTTATTTGACTTAGGGAACATTAAATATTTTCTTTGAAGGGGTTTGGTTTTTTTTTTTTTTTCAGTTGTACCAAAGTGTAGTACAGTAATATTTATAATGATTTGAGTTTTTTATTCATCTGCTTCAGCCCCCAGAGATACCTCCTTCATCACTGATTATCTTCCTCCTTTCCATATGGGTCGTTAGTATTTGAAACATAGAAAGGAATTAGAACTCTTACTGGGAAAGGGTTGTGTCTTCTTACAGGGAACTGTAAATATAATAATAAACCCTGGAAAATAAAAATCAAGGAGTAGCCCTGGGTTCACTTTTGTCATTGCTAATATGAAAAAATAACCTGTAAAAAAACCCAGCACATCCTTCAAAGGGAAATGCTTTGCTGAAACAGTAGCTTGGCTGACAATACCTGTTATTATCGGAGTGGGAAAGTCAAACGTGGCACTGGAATGCATAAAGTGGGAAGGAAAATTTCCTAGGAAACAAGCAAAGCTTGGAGTCACTGTTTCTCTGTGCTAATGAATCCATTGGGGGTAGAGTTCAGCAGGCCAGAGAAGTTCATGCTCAGCAGCCTTGGCTAAACATCCCTGGCCATGAAGCCATTAAAGAGAAAAACTTTACACCATTTCCATTAAAAAGGGAAGAAAAGACACCTTGGGACTGCAGCCACACAAGGGACTACCCAATTTTATCAAGGAAAACAAAGCTGCCATTTCATATGCATCACATCTATTTTTTTACTGAAGGATGGCTGAGATAAATTGAAAATTACAGTGAGGAAAACCCTGAATCTACAGAATACTTAAACCCCCCAAATAAATCACATGTTCTTGTGATGGATCCTGTGCAATAACCACGGGCCAAATTCCAACTGCCTTACATACTGGAGCTCCCATCCTTTAGGCAGATCAAAGCAAGATTTGAATTTATATAAAAAACAGAAAATTGTAGGAAATTCTGCATTTGGGTCCTAACCACAACTGGGAACATATTTAACGTAACTGCTGCAAAATACAGGAATTTTAACACTGAGACTAGAAGTGAGGACACCAGGCTTATATAAGTGATTAGAGACTTGCTGTTGCTGGCACTGAACTGCACAGGGAGGAGATGGCATCTGTTGTAATCTAATTTTGAGGAGAGAAAATAATAGAGCACAGATATGCTTCTGTTTCATAAGGGATGCAGCTCTTGTGCGTCAGATGAAGTCTTGGGTTGTTTAACAAATGTTCTCTCCCCTTTCAGTGATCCAGGAAATAAGGAAAGATGAATTCCTACAATGATCCTTATCACTAACAACATAAAAACCCCTTTATAGAATCTAACTTCTCTTTCCAATGCATTATTTGGCCCAGCCAGAGAGCAGAACAAAAACCCCCTATTTACTATTGTTTGCACAATATACTGACCCAAACTGACCACAGATTGATTGACTCTTGAAATCAGAGGAACCAAGCTCTGCTGGCAGGTGCAGAGGGCAGAGAGCCCAAAGAGCAAAGCCTCCCTCAGCCAGCGAGGCTGTGGCCTCAGAGAGAGCTGTTTCCTCATGGGAACCTTTCCTTCCTTTCCCACTGAGGCTCCATTTCCTCATGGAAACCTTTCCTTCCATTCCCACTGAGGCTCCATTTCCTCATGGGAACCTTTCTTTCCATTTCTGTGAGGCTCCTCATAGAAACCTTTCCTTCCAGCCCTGCTGAGGTTCTATTTCCTCATGGAAACCTTTCCTTCCAGCCCTGTTTTGGATTCCATCTCCTCATGGAAACCTTTCCTTCAACTCCTGTGAGGCTCCTCATGGAAACCTTTCCTTCCAGCCCTGTTTTGGGTTCCATTTCCTCATAGAAACCTTTCCTTTCCTTCCAGACCTTCTGAGGCTCCATCTCTCAGCTGGAGAATCCCTTGGAGGATCCCAAAGTTCAGGGGCTTCTGCTGACACCCTAGGGTGTCCCTGATGCCCAGTCCCTGGCTGTCCCTCGTGCCTGGGCACTCAGGGAGGGGCCAGAGCCACCAGGGGACACCTGTGGCCTTTCCAGAACTTTCCTGGTGCTCCTGGGTGTGGCTGACCCCAAACCCACTGGGGCAGGAGGTCACAGGTGCCTGGGGCTGTGTTCCATGTGCCACTGAGGGGCAGCTCCTCGGGGGGTTTGGGTGGCTCCGTGGCTCAATTTGGGCTGGTTTTGGAGCCACAGAGTGGTGTCCTCCTCTGCCCAAGCTAAATGACAATTCCTGCCCATCAGGGACGAGCACAGCTGCTGCTGGGAACCCGTTAAACAAAGGAACTGGGAACCAGTTAAACACTGGAACTGGGGACAGTTGTCCCCAAAAAGACCCCAATCCTCAAATCTTGCAATAGGGGGACAAAAAGAAAGGTCTGCAGGTTCATAAATTTTCTTTTTCTTTTCCATCACATGTCATCACATGAAAGCTCTTACATGGAAAATGGCAATACAACCATGGAAAAAAAGCAATACAGAAAAAGAGAGAAGAAGTGGGAAGAGAGAACTCTCTATTTTCAGTAAAACTGGGATAACACCAATAAAGTGGAGTTATTTTATCCTGGTTTGAGCCTTTATGCTACTTCTCGTAAGATGAAAGGAAAATCTATTCAACATGAATGTATCTGATGCAAAACAGTTCTGAGTTGATAATTTCCTTTTAAATTATCTCAAATTTTAATTTCAAAATTATGGCATACTCTATAAATTTAAGCAAATTCCATTTTAAATTATTTTAAACATCTCCTCCCCCCCGATTTTCCCACTCACCTAAATATTTTTCAGTGTTGCTGTTAAATACAATATTTTATTTATGGAATATATAATATTCCACTTTGCTGTTAACTGAACAGCATTTACACATTGATGAAAGAGTCTCTGCTTTTGAGACAACAAAGCAATGGTAGCCAAGTGATCAAAAGGCACAAAATGTATGTATGTAAGTACGTGTGCAGGAAAGTAGAATTGTCTGCAAATAGGAGCAGATGAGTTAGAATGCTGCTTCAGTAGGTGCCTAGGGAAGCAATACCTGTGATTCAAAAATACCAAACCAACGCCAACTCTGACTGCTGGGGGTGCACAGAGGGGTTAACGGGACATGCAGAGCAGCCCTGTGGGCACAGAGGGGTTAACGGGACATGCAGAGCAGCCCTGTGGGCACAGAGGGGTTAAGGGCACACGGGGAGCTGCAAACTTTGAAAACAAAGCTGGTGGCAGCCCCCAGCCCGGCCAGGGCAGCAGGGACAGGGTGTGCCCAGGACAGGGAAGGGAGAGCTGCCAGTGCCCATGGGCAGAACCTTTGGTTTCCTTCACCCCACAGTGCCCAGCCAGGGCTCCCTGTGCCCCTTCCCCATCCTTTGGGTCCCTGCCAGTTCTTGGGGCTCCCTGTGCCCCTTCCCCATGTCCAAGGGACCCCTTAGAGACCCTGCCCCACTCTTGGGGCTCCCTGTGCCCCTCCCCTCCCTTAGGGACCCCTTTGGGTCCCTGCCCCAATCTTGGGGCTCCCTGTGTCCCTTCCCCATTCTTAGGGACCCCTTAAGGACCTTGTCCAATTCTTGGGTCTCCCTGTGCCCCCTCCCCACCCCATAGGGACCTTTGGGGCTCCCTGTGTCCCTTCTCCACCCCATAGAGACCCTGCCCCACTCTTGGGGCTCCCTGTGCCCCTCTCCACCCTTAGGGACCCTGCCCCACTCTCACCCCCTGTCCAACCCCCCCACGTTCATGTTTGGAGCTGCTGGTCCTTAACTCATCCTGGGGAATGTACAAGCAGACCTTACAGCCATAGACAGTGCAAAGAGTCCATCAGAGAATGGAGACCCTTGTCTGGCAAGGTGGGGTGAAAACCCCTCCAAGGAAATGCAGATTTTTCCAAGCAGATGTGCTCTTCTATGGATTATAAATCATGTGCACTACATTGAAATACACGGGAGTGTATTGTGAACTGCATACATTAACTGCTGAATGATAACACTGGAAATGTATATACATCACACCCCAGATATTTATACAATATAATAAGTCTTAGATGTATAACATAATGAATTCTGTACAAAATAAACTGTAAGTTAAGACAATGAAACAGAACTTTTATATCTGTGTAATTTGTATGCTGATTAAGTTATTCAAGCTTCAGTTTTCATCTTTTAATGTGCCCTTTAAAAAAATACTTATTTTCTATAGGCAGATGTCTGAAATAAAGACTTGAGTCTTCAGAAGAGAAGCAAATGAAAGACTGAAAGACACAGATTTTGCTGGAGAAATAAAAATAATGTTCATGTGGTTGTTTTTTTTTTTAAAAACCATTTGGTGTTGGTGCTGGTCAGGGTGAGCTGCTGGCTGGGCTGAGGGTGATGTGCCCCTGCCAGGTGAGCAGAACCAGCAGTGAGGATTTCTCATTTCCCCTTCCCCAAAGCAGCACAAACCCCTCTCCAAAGCTGCACAAATCCCTGCATTACCCAGCCCAGGGTTTGTCCCCTGCCCCAGGAGTGAGCCTCCCACATGAGCAGAGCCTTGCAAAGAGCACATTCAGATTTAAGAGAAAAAGGCACAAACCAAACCTGTCCTTGAGCTCTCCAGTGGGAACCACCACAGAAGTTGGATTCAGTCCTCTGAATCCTTTGAAGCTCCCTTTAGACTCCAAGAGCCTCGAAATTCTTGAGTGACCACTGAGCTCCTCATGGGAGCTGCAGGAAAGCATCTGGCTAAAGCTAAAAAAGAGAATTTGAGCCTCAGGATTTTGCTGCAGGGGTTGGAAATTCTGGCAGAGCCAGAAACCCAGAGCCCCCTGAAGGCTCAGGAGCTGGGGCTGCTCCAGGGAATCAGCCCCAGGATGCTCCTGCTGCTCTCAGCTGCTCACACCTGGGATCTGGCTGTCCCGCTAATGGCAGCAATTTAACATCACCTGGATGATTTAATGAGCACCATTGTAATTTCTAATGCATTGAAATGTGGGTTTGTATGAAGTCAATTGGACAAATGGATTGAAAAGTGTGATTTAGGAAGTGCCTCAGAGAACCAGCTCTGTGCTGTGCTCTGGGCACAGATTCCACTTGGTCCCCTTTGGTGTTCCAAACCCTGAAATAATAAATGGATTTTATAAATGACATTTTTGTGTCCTGGCAGTTTGGCCATTACTGGGACACCCATCCCTCAGCAGCATCTGCATTCCTTTTCCTGTCCCAGAGCCCCACCTGGGCAGGTTCTGCAGCGTTGGTCACTGAGGGAATGCAGTTGAGCTGTCTCATTGAGAGGCAGCTGGCTTCAGAAATAAAGTGAGCTGGGGATGTTTTAGACCTGTTCTGCAGCTCTCAGAGGGCAGCTCCCAAAACCGTATGTATCAGCATCAGAGCATCAGGATTTCTAAAGCAGTGCAGATGAAGGCTTGTCTCCTTCCTCCTGATAATCTTGGGTTAGTCTATTTAAAAAACAATGGGATCTGATGGTACAAAACCCAAATAAGCAGCTTAGGATTTACTGGAAATGAAGAATGGATATTTTTAATCCTCCAGTTTAAACCTGTGGTAGGCAGAGCAGAATGCACACTTTATACCATGGAATTATCTGTAGGGATTTTTTTTTTTAATCAGGAGGGTCCTACAGCACCCAAATCCCTTTAACAAATCCTGAGAGTGGGGAGCCGGTTAAACCTCCCTGTGACATATTCTACAGCACTCAAATCCCTTTAGGGGATCCTGAGAGTGGGGAGCAGGTTAAATCATCCTGTGACATATTCTACAGCACCCATAAATCCGTTTAACAAATCCTGAGATTGGGGAGCAGGTTAAACCTCCCTGAACACCCCCAGGTAAGGTCCCCCAGAGTATCCCCAATGTTTGGTGGCCTGTGCAGCCCCTCAGGTGGCAGAGCTTGGATCAGGGTTTGGATCCAGCACTGCAGCAAGAGGCTCTCAGAGCAAGGACAGACCCCTGGCACTCCCTTTGTGCCCACCCTGAGCAGCACTCACCTCACCCACCTTGCAGCAGCAGCTTTGTTCTCTTTCCAGCAGAAAAGGGCCCTTGTCCATCCCCCTGCATTAGGAAACACATGCTCTGTCATTTCCACAGCTTAGTGAGCCATCCAATACGAGCCAGTTCACTGGACAGAGAAACTCGAATGACAAACAAACTCCCATATTAGCAACAAATAATAAAACCCAAAAAAATGCTCTTGGCAGCAGCTTTTTAACAGCATCTCAGTGAATGTGTCTGTTGGTTTCAAAGCCATGCATCTGCCTCCTCCTCATGTGTTCTCTCTCTGCTGGAATGGAGACACCTCTCTAAAGGCTGGAAAAGCTGCTTAGCCCTGAAGAGAGAGAAAACATGAGGAGGAACACCTGGGGATCTGCTCCAGCCCTGGGTGCCCCAGAGCCATTCCCTGGCCCGGGGGTGCCCCAGCACTGCAGCCCTGGCATGGGCAGGGGGCTCAGAGCTGCTCTGCTGAGCCCCAGGATCCCAGAGAAACCTTAGCAGGGTCTGTGGCCGCTGCAGGGCAGGCAGGGAGGGAAATGGAGCCAGGTTTGCCTCCTGTCTCTCAGCAAAAGAGGCAAAGGGCACTGATTGAAAGTGAGGAAAAATGAGGCAGTGACCAGCTGAGCCTCAGGGACTGTGCAGAGCAGCAGAGCTGGGCTTTGGTGTCCCTAATGAACCAAACCCTGCACAGAGCCGAGGGCTGGGAGTGACCTCAGCCACAGGAGGGAAAACATCATTACCTGAGCCTGGCAGCACCCCTGCCATCCATCCTGGCACTGGGGGTGGTTAACCCTGCTCGGGGGCTGTTTGTGCCCTCACGCTGGGCAGGGAGCAGAACACAAACAAGATTTGTTCCTAAATCACCATCCCACAGAAACAGGCCATGTCCAGGCCTGGATGGAGGCAGGAGAATGCTGGGAGCTGAGCACGGCCCTGAGGCCCAGCCCAGCACGGCCCAGCCCAGCATGGCCCATTTTGGGCCATTTGAGGGGTTTGGGGCAGCTGGGGGGTGAAGCTGCCAAGGTCCCACCCACATCTGGCCCTGCTCTGACCCTGGAATGTCCCTTGGATGTCCCTCTCTCCTTGGGTGGGATTTCAGGATAAATTAGAGGAGGTGAAGTGCACTGAGGCTTTGGCACTCCTGGATCCCTGTGCCACTGGCTGAGCTCCTGCTTTTCTGCTCCTCATTCTGAGGTGCCACCACATCCCCTGCACCCTGCAAAAGCTCACCAGCATTTTTGCCATCATCTTCTTTTGGCACTTTGTAGTTGAGCTAAACCCCCTTTCACTTTCCCTCTGCAGTTACTGTAAAAGGCACAGCAACTTTACTAATTTATTTGCAGAAACCATTGAAGATTCCATCTGCTGTGATCAAATCCCCTTAAGTAAAATATAAACTGCTGCTCCTCTGAATGTAAAGCCTAAATCAATAATGGACATGAAATCATCAAGTTTAATCTCAAACACAGTGAACCCAAGTAATCACTCTTCTTGATATAAAACTAATTCTGTTTGACAATAAAATACTACTAGTCTGTGCCATAAACCAATGGAACAAATAACTTTCTTAACCCTGACAGTTGCTGTCCAAAATCATTACATCTCCTCTCCCCAGCAATCAAGCATGTCACTGCAGGAAATTCCAGCTCAGCTCCTTTCCACAAACTGCTCCCATGCACTGGGAAACAATTGCTCTTTAAAAAGTGTGGTGATGCTTTGGCTTTTCCTCCTCCAGCTGCCCAAAAATGAGGTTTGCCAGGGCACAGGGCACAGGCAGCAAGGGAGAACTGCAGGGGACAGGATTCCACAAATTCCCTTCAAGGGACAGAATTCCATTAATTTCCTTCAGGGGACAGAATTCCATTCATTCCCTTCAAGGGACAGAATTCCACAAATTCCCTTCAGGGGACAGAATTCCACAAATTTCCTTCAGGGGACAGAATTCCATGTATTTCCTTGCTCAATGAATACAGTCACTGAATACAGTCACTGAATATATGGTATTATTAATTAACTCAGCATCACCCAAGCATTGCTGCACTGAGGAAGCTTCTCAAAACCAGAAATTTTTGATTTAAGATGCAAATATTCACCAGAGTCTCAATTATTTACCACTACAAGAGGTACCCAACACGTTTTGGCTGTCACCTTTTAACCACTGGGTTATGGATAACCCATGGAGCCAGGAATCAGCTCAGGAAAAAGACCTGAAAGAACATCTGCAGGTCCTCTCCCCACTGCTCTTTGGCTCCCAGCTGCCATTGGAAATCACTGGAAATTATTTCAATTATTTCATGAATCTTCAAGTTCTGACACCACCTTCCATGGCTGTAATCCCATTTTAAACCTGGAGGCCCAACATTTTCTGGAGCAGAGCAAAGTCTGGTTCCTTCCTTTGCTGCTGGCAGAGCATCCCTGTTGGGATCAGCACCAGGGAGACCAGATGTTCAAAATTCTGCATTTCCAGCAGCTCTGCTCCCCTTCAGAGCTCACAGAGCTAATTCAGGGATGGAATGTACGTGTCCCACACAGCCCCTGCTCCTGGGGTTATCATTCCTACTCCCCATAACAACAGCCAGGCCAAAGCTCAGTCTGATCCGTGTCAGAGGCAATGAGAGCCTGATCCTCTCTCTGCTGAAATCCTGGGCTGTTCATGTCAAACCTTGGGGTTTCCCCCCTCCTTTCAATATTTCTGAACATTTATCCCCTCTCACAGTCCTTGATAACAGTTTGGCATCTCTGAAGCTGAGAAGTTTTAATATTCTGTGGGTTTTTTTTCCCCAGCACTTCTGTAATTTCAGGGAAAAAGGTATTTGATATGGTGGTTTTATAGTGAGAGGAGGAGCAGGAACATTTGCTATTGTGTGAGAAAAGACATTTCAAATAAGTGTTATAATTTTATAACTCTTTTTTTTTCCCCTGTAACTATAACAGGAATGAATAGCTGTGAAACAGAATGGGCTTTGCTTTCTGTGCAGGTAGGATTTTTTTAATTTCATTTTTCTCTCAGGCCTTGATATTCAAATTGGGGAAGATCTTAAAAATGGAACAACACTTGCAAATGTATTCAGAGTGATGGTTTGGATGTATAATTATAAAGATTCTGAAAGATAAAGAATTCAG